GACTAACAAGTTAGGAAAACAGCGTTAAGGAGAGGGAAGGATGGGATTGTTGCAGAATAGCGGTATTTATTCTAGAGAGTACTAAGTGCCTTTAAAATGTCTGGGTTTAGATTTTTAGGTTTTAACAGGGCAGCAGGAATGTTCATATTGGTCTGATGCAAAAAAGTGTTCTTGAATTTCATCTGATGTCCCAGATTTCCTCTGGCTGAGATAGCAAGACACAGTTTCTACAGAGGCATCAAGTGATGGAGAACCACTGTACCCCTTGGTAACTGGTGCCAACAGTTAAACAGTCACTGTTAAAACCATGTACTTTATTTCTAGCTTACATTCATCTAACTCTAATTTCTAGCTGCTGGCTCACATTGTGCTTTCATCTGGTTTTCAACCATACGCAGGCATCACTTTACTCAGTGAAATTGAGCCCTGCATTTAGGCTGACCCAGCAAATGATACTCAACAGTTTTGGACAGCAAGAAAAGTATATACTGCATCCTGTTGCACATGTAAGGGTGCCAATGGAATTCAGACTACCAAGTCTAGAAGTAACATTGCCTTTGTAAATTAGGCTCCTTTACGGCAATTAAGCCTCAGCTTAGGACAACCAACATCCCCCCCCAGCACCGTGTTTCTGCAGCTCCCTGAAATAGTGGCCTGGAGCAGACACCAAGGTGAGTAGCAGTTGAATAGTTTTAACATTGTTCTTAAATTACTGCCATCATCAACCAAGTTATGAACACAAGGGAGAGTAATAAGATAAACAGTAAATGAGAAGTCCCAAGGGCCTTGCAAGGGATAAAGAGGCAGAAAAGGAGGACCCAGATCTCTGTGAGCTGTGGTACCACAGTCTGTCTCCAGGACAGCAATGCCATTCACAATCACAGCTGGAAATCATCTTTGTAACAACAGCAGCATGAAAAGGATGTCACCCCACACAAGTAATGACACGGTGGAGGAAGCAGCCAGTGCAGCCAAGCAGCACCAACTGGCATTAGCTTAACATGCTGGGCTGTAACCTGTGTTAGAGCTGCTTACACAAGTGCATGAGTGCCTGGAGCAGGGGAGAGCAGACAGCTCTGGCCAGGACCTGCTCAGAAGGCCCCTGCATCTCCCCACCAGCACCCTGAAGAGCAGCTCCACAGCAGAGCCTTGAACACTGGCAAAGGATTGCTTCAGTCTTGGAAAAACGGCTGTCAGGCTTTGCTCTCCCAGTCACAGCCTCAACACAAGCGACGCCGGCAAGATGAGGCTTGGCAAAGAGGGCACATCTGAGTGTTGAGATTAGGAATTTCCCCACTCCGGGCCAGTGGGGGAATGAAGAGCAAAGAGGAGTAAGCGCACTACACTTAACTGCATTGCTAGATCAAACAAATCTCTTTTCCTCGTGTCTGTTGCCAAGATCTGGAGGATTATCTATTCCCATAAGAAAACTGACACTGGGACTACATATGCCATATAGGGAGCAGGTCTCCTTTCCTCTACCAATTAGTCTCTTCCTTTTAAACTCCAGATACTTCTCACTGTTGAAATGGTTCCAGACAGGACTGATGCTTGGACAGCTGGGTCCTGCTCAACCCCCCACTCCCCCCACCCCCACCCTGGAGCCAGGACAAAGCCAGTCCTGCAGGTAGACTGTGTCTAGGAAAATTCCTGCCTTCTACTGTGCCTGAGGCATGTATACACACACATCTTCCATATCCAGCTGCAAAAGTTAGCAAACCTGCTCTAGCTGGGGTTTGGAACTAGCAGGCACACAAAAAAGGTTGAAACCTGACTCCAAGCCTCCAGTATTGATTTTGCCCAAGTATTGCCCTTTTCATGCCTCAAGACTTTCGCTCCCTCTTCACATGCACGCAGCCTCCTCAGCCAGGGTATCACCAAGCAGTACTCACCAACTTACCTAAATAAGCACCCTGTGCTTCCTAGACTACCAGGATGGAAAACCTGTCTGACAGCCCAAGCTGCTGCAGGAAGCATGATGAGGTGCTAAGAAAATAATTCTGCTTTTGTAGCTGGATGGGGTTTTTGGCTGGCAGTCAGCAATCCGTACAAGTCATTTCTACAAGACACTCCATTTACTTCCTGTTCCCCAGCAAGTCCCTGCAGGAGAGGAAAGAAGCTGGGATTAAACATATACGACAAAGCCCAGCCAAGACACACAATCCAAATTCCCAGACAAAGTACAAGACAAATATAAGCACCACAGAGGAACAAACATAATATCGGCTTAAGTCTAGCATGAGCCCTCTGTAAATGTGATCTGAGCAGCAGGCTGCACCTTCCTGCCTGGCAGATTCCACGTCTGCAACACAGCACATCTCGAGAAAAGAGACAGGAGGAACCAGGGACTTAGAGGCTTCAGGAATTCAACATCACCATGAATGACAAACAACAACTACATTCAAATGGCAGTTGGCTCACTGTTGTCAAATGAATGGGCTCTCCAAGTCTCAACCCAACTGCACAACTGGAGCTACAAAGCTCCAGCTTTTAGGTTGGGAAGGGAGGACATTTAAAAACCTGTCTGAAGTGTGCTCTCCCTGTATGTCTGAGACAAAATCAACAGCCCTTAACACCATCAGAGCACACAAAGTGTGAGTGACGCTGTCAGTGTACCTCCAGTACCTGCCATAGGTGAACCAACAGCAGATTACAGAAGAAATAAAGGAGCGAAGCAATATTGCCCAGCCATGGCCAGATGGCAGATATCATATTCTTAGTTTTCCCAAAACAGCTCTCTGGGGTACCAGCACTATACTCCAAACACTAAATTTCTTCCCTAAGGTTGACAAATCTAAAGGCTGCCATCCACCCGTGAAGGATTTAAAATACCTACTAGTAAAAGCCTCGAGTGTGAAAACCTCAAGTATTTCAGCAGAATGTGGTCTTCCCAGATTCCTCCTCTGTCAGGGAGAGCCTGACACTTCAGGTACCGTGCAGCCACAGCATGTCCCCCTCACCACAGGGGAAATCCCACCGAATCCAGCTGCATTCCCAGCCCAGCAGGAAGCAGAAATCTCACAGGAAAGGCTATTCTAGTGATGTTTCCAGGACAGTTTTGCAGAGACACTTCTGGATCAAAGCCAAGGCAGAGGTGGCCAGCACCTCCAAGAAGGTAGCTAAGCTACCATCTTCTCCACAGTGGCAGAAAATGAAAAGCTAGACACTTTTCCTGAAGCTCAATTACTGATTAAAGCAGTGGGAAGCTTTATTCTCTCCCTAAAATGTTGCATTTCTTTTGAAAGTGGGAAAAAGAAGAAACCTCTCTCCATCACAAATGTGCATTTCCTCACTACTGAAGTGAAAGAGTGAAAAAACTGAAAAGGAAAACCAGAATCATGATCTTTAACAAGTATTTTTAGTATTCACCATGAATAGGGAATACCAAAGCAACCAACTCCACTTCACAGAATTGCCACTTCTTCCAGAAACAACCATCAGCACCACAAGGACATTTTCTGTCACTGGGGGGAGAGGTGGCAGTGAGCTCAACAAACTCTATTCAACCACTGTGCTGAACTGGTGTCAGTGAGGAAATGCTAAGGGAAGCCTGGAGCCAGAGCACTTCCCATGAGACACTGAATCAAGACTTTCCTCCCTCCTGTGATTCAGTGTCACAGGAGGCAAACTGCAGACGACTTCTGGCTGGCTGCAGCAGCAGCCATGGCACTGAGAGCAGCCTGGCTCCTCTGGATGTGTGCACGGAGACAGAACGGAAGCAGGATGGGAGACCTGCTGGGAGGCCCCATCTTGCAGCTGCTTCTGTTTCAAAGCCTGGCTAGCATCAGTCGTGCTGAGATGTCAAAGGGGTAGCAGGCACCTCTGGCCTGTACTTCATGCACAAAGAGTAGAAGAGAACAAGAAAGAACAAATCAAAAGACTCAGAGCAAAGAAAGAGCTAAGGGCTGGGAATTCTGGGTCACAAAGAACAAGGAAAGCACATAAAGAACATGCAATTACCTGCTGCAGAAAAGGCATCAGGATCATCTCATTTCATGCAATGCACAGATCCCTTGGGAAAACACAGCCTTTCTGCCACTCCATCCTGTTTCAGAGACTTTCTTTCATGCCTGAGGCTCTCCTTAGCCTCATGACTGATTCTCTCCACCCATGTCTCCATCCATAGGCAGAGGAGGGACACAACTGAAGAGCAAAACAGCTCATGTGCTTCTGAGAAGCCTACATTCCTCTCTAGTCACTAAAACACCCCAAACCAACCAGAAATGTCGGCTTCATGGAAGAAAACAGGAGGGGAAAAAAGGAAGACTGTTTCTAAAGCCAGCCAAATATTAGAAAGTAAAGTCACTGCATTCACATATAACACAAAGCCTCTGGTTCCGTGTGACCACATCAGAACCACAAGGATTACTAACAGCTTCTGCATGGGTTTCTGCCCACACCCATTCAGTAAAGGGTACCCACAGCTAAGAGAACATGTGTTGCCTTCCTGCTTACTTATTTGGAGCTCTTCTTTGGAAGCTTGAACCCAGAATACCAAGAGCGGCTATTTCCAAATCCTTCTTAGGTAGCTATTCACACAGCTGCAATATTCCATGAGCATTTATCACTGCCAATTATCGTAGCAAGCAATGTTTCCAAGGAGTGAAGGAATCCCTTACAAGGTGAAGGAATGGTGCAAAGACAAGCAGTTCACATCCTATCTTAAAACAGGCCCCAATGTTATGTAGTGTGGCTGAAGCGTACAGCCAGCCTCTTCCTAGAGATTCCAGAGACAGACCCCAGAAGCTCCCCCAGCAATCTACCTATCACTTCCTAATCCTTAACTACGTTACCAAAGCCTTCCCCCTCCACAGTTTCATGCTTTATTGGCCATAGGAGCCTGCCTGAGAGAAAACAAACCTATGAAGGACTGTAAGTTAGGTCTTCATCAGTTCTCACTGCAGGGCCAGATTCTGTGAACAGCCCTCAACCACACACTAGACACTCCTTGTTTTCCTCTCTTTCACTTCAGGAGTCCCTCTCCAGCTGTAAGCTGCTCACCTGTTCGTGTGCTTCCAGGTAGACAGCTTCAGCAGAGGCAAACAGCACTGCGCGGACTGCAGAGGAAAGCATAGTCTCTACTTCTGCACTCACCAGGGAGGACTGTTGCAAACCGCAGAACTTCAGGGATCCCAAGGACCCACCTGTGATGGGAAGAAGCACCAGAAATGAGTAAACCAGACTGGCTGGCTTAACAGCTGTCAGAAGGGTCACTCTCGACTACTCTGTACACTGATATTTCTGGCACTAGAGATGCTTCCATGAGCCAATTCGGTTCACTAAACTGGCAGAAAACTAACAGAACAAAAAAGCCCACTGTGGCAATGATGAGCTCAGCCATCTTCTCTGGCTGCATGCACTGACTGCATGTGAGCCTGTTGCAGTGATGTGCCAAAACCAGGTATTTTGAGCTGAAGGACCACTGGACACTTGCTCTTTTGAGAAACTAGTTTTGTGTATACAGAACTGACTTCGCTGGGCCTGCGTGCCACTAGCTCACCAAACAAACATGGGACAGTCAGTGATTCTCTGCAGCTTTTCCCAGATTTCTCCTTATCTATTTTAACATTTCTTCGTGATTTAGAACAACCTCTTTCTATCTGCACATTCCCAGCACAAGAGAATCCACCTCTGATAGGAGGGCTTTGCCTCCATGACAAACAGCAGCAGCAAAAGCTCTGCCCTCCACTGAAAAGCCCCATCTCTATGTGAAAGTGGTCACTCCTACCTCACTGCTGGCTGAAGACATTTTCCTCCTCCCACATGAGCTAAGCAGCAGGATCTGTGCAAGTCACACTTCCTGAAAGGCAATGCAGCAGCAGGTAAGGCCAGTGTACGCTCCTTACAAGGAAGTGTCTAACACTCCCTTGCTCACACACTGGGAACAACCACAGCCACCCTGAAGGATTGGGAAGAGACAATACTGTGAGGCAGCACTTCAGGAGATCATGTAGAAACCTAAGAAACATGGAGATTCATTATGTCATTCAGGCTTGAGTTCTTAGAAAAGATTTTCTTACTGGTCTGCGGCAGCAGGAAGCATCCTTCAGGTGACAGCAGCATTTCCAATACCCTGCAGTGCCATTCACAGCACTTGGAGAGGACTAGCAGAGCAAGTCCTGTCTGCTTCCAGCTGCTTGCTCCTGAAAGGCACCTCTCACTCCTATCCCCATGAGAGAGCAGGGCAATTCATTTGGTTTGACAAAAACTATCAGTCCTCTGTACCTTATTTTTCTGTTGTCCACCAACCTGCACAACTGTCCTCCCTGTCTCAGCTGGGAGGGTGAGGAGCCCAGGAGGACCAGGGCATGGCTTTCACAGGGCTGGGCCAGCTCTAGTTTTTATAAGCTCTACACCACTAGTGAAAGGAGTTATTAGCTACCTTCTAACCTTACTGAGGAGGAATCAAGCCAACTTTCCCCTCCTGAACCTAGCAGATCTTCCAGTAATAGGCAAAGGGTTGTCCATCCCCTGGTTACACCAGCTCACATCACCCATAAGTGATGACTGTGAGAGCACATTTACTGGTGGAGAGCAAGACAGTTTGCTACAGTCCCATTCCAAGCAGATGGGAGATGAAGGAGTCAGAAAACCTATTCAGATGTCCTGTCCAGTAACTGGGTGTCCCAGGGATTTCTGTATCAAGGCTCCACAGGATCAAGCAGCTCTTTTCTAAGAAGATACATAATTTTGCTGCAACTTGGTGTGAAGAAGTAATTAGATCTCATTTCTTAGGTACTAGAAATGAGGGGTGAGGGAAATAGCTGGAAGTTAGTATCTTTGAGTTCTCTTCCACTTTACCACATCTGGCTGATCTCCACACATGGACACCAATGATGCAGGACGTACTTTCCTCACAAACCAGACTAAAAAGGACAGTGGGCAGGTGTTTCTACTGCACAACTGCAAAAGGAACCGAAAGAAGTGATGGAAAGCCATAGCAGGCATCAGTCCCTGCTCCCAACATTTCTCCCAAAAATTTTCACTGGGAGATAGAAGTCACACCTCTTGGCTCCCAAACAAGTATTGATCCGTTAGGCCATCTGGTTGAAAATCATTCCTGGTAAAAACAAGGATACTGCTAAGTCTTCCTTACAGTTTCATGTTAAAATGAGGAAGGCAGCCCAAGGTCCTTCTCACAGCTGCAAGTCACCATGGTATTACTTCAGGCATGACAGGCTAGCACAAAAGCAAAATAAGGAGGCTGAATCAAACCTGTGATGCTCCCAAAAGATACCCTGAAGCTTGATTTAGAAAGCAAAAAGAAACACTGCTCCTTTCTGTAGTTATTTTTAATCAAGGGTGGACTGTTATCCTGGAACTGAGTCAAATGAAAATGAGAGATGTAAAGCACTTCACTCTCCCCCTGCTGCCCCTCTGCTCTGCATCAGTCATCACTTCTTGCTTTGTAAACCTTAGTGGGATTTGCACAGGGCCAGGCAAATGAGGCTCCTCCATTTACTGCTACACGACAACTATATTCCGGTAACAGGCTGTTCTCCTGCCAATGTCTTCTGTTTTCCAACTCAGTTCATTTTCTTTAGTGGCTTTCTTTCAGACAAGTGGATAACCAGAGCCTTGGGTCGGCTCCATGTGCATTCTGCCCCTCAGCAGTGGCAGTTATTTCTTTGCAGAAATCCTGCTCACATAGGAAGCAGCTTCACAATCTCTCAGACCCAGTTTAGTTGCTCCTGTTTCCGCTTCCTCTTCAGCATCATTCAGCCCACAGAGCACTGACTGCTGCTCTGCCCAGGGCTCTCCCTGCCTTTCCTGCCCGGCTCTCCCAAGCCAATAGCCAAGGAAACCTGTCCACACCTATGCAGGCTGGGGCTGTGCCTTTGTTTTGGGCAGTGACGTGTGCTTGGGGTGGAGGCCACCATTGTTTCGAGTTCCCTGATTCCACAAAGGAGCATTAATAATTTCTTACAACTGCGGTAAATGAAAGGTGGCAGCTACACCCAACCTATAACATTATACATCATTGGTTTTCCTGTTACCTGTCAAAAAGGGGGTTCTTCCTTTTACCATGGGAAGGTGGCTGAGGTTGCAATGTCACCTAGGCAGAAGCTGTCAAACACATGGACCATACTGATGTACAGACAGGGTCGCCCTGCCCTGAGCCAGGCATAAGAGCTCCTGGGACCATTTGGATCAGGAGGCAGAGCTGGGCTCATTCTCTCACATGCCATCGTGTCTCCCCTCATAAGGAAGGGATGCAGTGGATAATGCAGCTGCCATCTGTGGTGTTCAAACAAAGCATTTTGACAGCACTAACAGAAAAATGCAACTGTGCTGTGCAAAGCAGATGCTTTTTCACAAAAAGGGAGTGACATTTAGTCCATGAAAGGTATTTCTTGCAGAGAAACTGCACAAGAGTCAGTCTGAAATACTCTAATTTGCCTCAAAAGGTACCCAGCTCTTCAGGTGCTCTCTGACTTAGAGTGCAATCACACACCAACCCTCGGCTTCTTCAAGCATCACATAAAGAATAGGAAACAGTAGGAAACATACCCCCTGCAGCTTCTATAGCATGAAGGTTACATACAAGGAATAAAACATTAGAGCCAGCAGCCTTATTTTGCAGAAGATAATCTAATTTTTCATATTCAGTGCAACATTAAACCCATTCTCCCAAAACTCAGCTGTGCCAAAGCTTCTGAGCTTAGAGTGAAATCACCTCCAACAGCAAAGTTTCAGTGCCCCACAAAAAATCAGGAGTAATGGAAAATACAAACAAAAAGACACAAGTGGTAAAAAGTAAAAGGAGGTGGTTTAGACACATCCCATCTTGTTATGCTATGTTTCAGTTACCAGTGTAAGGAAATGGGGTTTCCTTTTAAGCAGGGAGGGCCAGATCCTTGGCTGGAATACATCAGTTCTGCCCTGCTGAAATCAATGGATTGTTGCTGATTCACAGCAGCTGAGGGTCTGGCTTGTGGTTTTCTCCTGACTATTAGTATCACACTAATATAATTCTAAATTAAAATCATGTGGAGATGTTTTCATACAATATTGTTAAATACCAAATATACCAAAACTGAACTAACCCAAAATTAACCTAAAATGTGAGAAAGTAAAGGGAATGCCTGTCTATTGCAATATGGACTCAGAGGCTAGAATGGAAGACTCACTGGACAGTTTGATGAAATCCCTTTAAGTATTTGCACTATTTAGTCTCTTAATTCTGGAATGAGGCCATTGGTAGTGTGAAAGTTTCGGGGTTTAACACATTTCCTCATACCCTCTCAGAGCTCCGTGTAATTCCTGAAGCCAAAAGCACCAAGGATGCAAAGAACAGCAAGAGGAACTGTCATAAAAGGTGACTGTAATGGTGATCCTCTTGCTAAGTCCCCAACAGCACAGGTGGCCAAGGGGGGCCTGTGGCCACACTGGGCTTGAAGCCAGCGAGTTCTGCACAGCACCCCACTGCCAACTAGACTGCTGCAACCTACTGAGAAAAACTAAAGGATATTCTTCAGCTGCAGATGTGGAAGCAGCACCCTGGGAACCCGTTGAGCACCACAGCAAACAGGCAGGGGAGAGGCACACCCCATTGCAACCAATTGTGCAACTCCGTCTCGTTTAGTCACATGGTGGATGTAAGCAGGACTATTGCAGCCACACAACAAATAGGGAGTGATGGCCTTCACACAGAGAGCATCCCTAGGCACTCTACCCTCCCAGCTGCCACTCTTCCTCCTCCTAGAACTGTCCTCCCCACTGTGGCAGTGACCTAGCTATCAGCCTTGCCCTGTCTGGCCAAACCCCAATTCCCCCTGCTGCCAAGCAACCTAGCCTCCAGCAAGTGCTCAGCCTCCTTCAGGATCAGCAAGGCTGATGCCAATTCACTGCTGAAGTGGGTGGCAGTCTTAATTATGTTTCAGGCCTGAGAAATCTCACCAGCGCACTGAGAACCACAGGGCTCTTTCCTAATTACACGGCAGAGCAGCGCATGATTCATGTCAGCAGCTCCTCGGCCCCCTCACCTCAATCCTTGCTGGGGTGACACAACAAATCCGAGTGGAAGTGATTAGCAGGTTGCAACCACAGCCGCCTGCTCCCCAGTGCTATTAACAAACCAGGCGCCATGACTGAGACGGCGGCCTCAGGCAGGGGCCTGTTGAATCATGTTCCTCTGCATTGCAACATCGGAAGTTGCACTTCAAAACCCATCGCCTGCGTTGCTCTTGGATTTCCCAATGAAGGCTCGAGGAGGATGGAGAATCTGGGCTGAGAACATTATCTATGCATTTTTAAATTCCCAGGGGAGGTTCGGAAACTAGAACTAGCTCTGGGAGTTTTGTTTTTGTTTTTCCCTTCCCTCCTCTCTTTCCTTTTGGTCTGATTAGCTTTGGTGAGTGGCTTGCACAATTTTATCAGGTTGAGTCTGATGAATCATTCATCTCTAAGCAAGCAACAGGGAAAGATTGCAGGGCAGGCAGGGGCTGCGCTTCAGTAACCAAAACCAGCAAAAAAAACCTCACCCCCACCAAGAGAGAGAAACAGAGACAGTGGGCCAACAGCGCTCATGGACAGCTTTCTGATGTCTGGTCTCAGACAACTAGCAGCACATTCATTTGTAAGACTGCCAGACCTCCTAGGAAACTTAAAAAGCTTCTGTTATTTATAAAGCTGGATGTAGCTATTTTGCCTGCAAAACCAGCTCATTATATTTATAGGTACCTGTCCCATTCACCCACTTCAGGGCCCTCGGTCCTATAAATCTACAAGGCTCACAGGATCTGCCTTCAAACACCAAGATATCTCTCCTTTGTGAGCAGGGCCATGTGGAAGTGTCTA